TCAGAGAGGAGGTAGGAAACTCAACAGCCGATCTTGCTAAAACGATTGCCGGGGGGAACTATTACAGCGACACGGTCAAACCCAAGTCTGACACCTTCGTACGTGCTCGTCACCAGCTTCTACAAACTCTAGGACACTCACACCGTTTCATTGTAGTTGGGTATCACAGACGCGGTCGCAAAGTCGGTACCTCGGCCGTATGTCATCTTTGGTTTAGCGGGTGGCCTCCCTTACCTCGGCTCCGCCTTGACTACTGTCTACCTCGCACGCCAGGCTGGTGAAGCAGCTACAGGTATGTTTCTTACTCTAGCACAGTTCATGAACGTCGGCTGAACTTAATCTAATCCTTTTTAGCTGTCTCTGCTACTATCGATCCTGGTGTAGCTATCACCGTACTGCATCAAGCGTTGACATTCCAGACCACCTATGGTGCCGTTCTCCTGTCTTTCCTCGGTGCTCTTCATTGGGGTTTCGAGTTCTCCGGCTACGGCGGCGCCAAATACTATTCTCGCCTCATGCTAGGTGCCGCTCCTGTTGTATTTGGTTGGAGCACCCTTGCCATGGAACCGATGGGTGGTCTTATTGCACAATGGGTCGGATTCACAGGAATGTGGTGGGCTGATATGAAAGCCACCAACGCCGGCTGGAGTAAGCCCAAGTACATTTTCTGCATTCCACAGTAGTTGTTAATTCGGTTCTTGATCTTTCAGCCCCGAAATGGTACTCTCAATATCGGTTCTATCTTTCCATACTTGTCGGTACTTGCATCATCGGCACGCTAGCTGCTACCTCCTACTGGGGCCCTGTTGGTGGTTATGGGTTCATCACCCGAGACCTCAACGAAATTCGTGCTGAACGCAGTCAGATGCATCCTGAAAACCGAGGTCTGGTTGGAGGCAATATCGAGGCTATTCCTACGGCTCTGAATGCCGATACCTATGTTATGATCAAGAAGAAGAAGGTTTCCGGGGATGCGAAGAGAGAGAATTAATCACAACATGTACACTTTCATCGGTATTCCTCGGTCCCACTGGCAAGTTTGCGACAATAACCCCTAGAGAGGGGCAAATGTATAAAATACCTGTACGACTGTTCTTGGTCATTGTTAGTAAACATGTAGCGCAAGTACTATGTACGTGCTACTGTACCATCCATCATCACAAGTACTGTTTTCAAATTGTATTCTTGGACAGAAACTAAGATGGTCAGAACAGCTTATGTGGTAGTAGCAAATTGTTATTTCCGCTCACACTGACGACCGCAAAGGCTCAGTGGACAATCGAATCCTGATACATCTCTTGCAAAGTACCCCGGAGAAAAAGACGATGGTGTTGTACGAGCGACGCACCATATGTGTGCTACCCAGACTGAGGCCACTTGAACAGTTGTAGTGCAGAACATGGATATCTGTACGCAAATACGACGGTATCTTGTGAATCAAGCAAATTAGGAGTCAGCATACGCTCTATCGCGCAATTGGCAATATCTTATTTGAGTAGTAAGTGGCGACAGTTTGAGTAAATGAAAGGCTAACCGGATGGATTATCTCGTGCGCAAGTATATTGAGGGTGCTCCGACCATCAGGAGTACAGTGTATTAAGATGAAAATGTAGTTATACCCAGGTGAGGCTAATCCTCGGGGAGGGCGGCCTTTCGTCTATACTTTGCTTGGTCTCTCAGCCACTACATATGAGACGAATGTTGATCGTGTTCTATGACTCAAGGATATCATCATCACGTACCTGTCTATAATCATGCAAAGACCCAATTTTCTCGCCTGGACGAATACAAGTTGAATTTAGTTAACTAACAATTGGATAATGAAGTCTCAACACCGTACCGTAGAAATCTGGCACAGGGTTTGTTGCACTTTGAGACCTTGGGTCCACCCTGTTCTTTACTATGTGCTCGTGGAACTGACGGTCGCGCGCCTCGATAAGTTTCAAGGCTCGTCTGTGCGTCATGCGCCAGATGGCGGAGCCAACAACTGGGCCAATGAGATATCCAGCACCTTTTGCAAAATATAGTTTAGCACAATATGAATCTCTCGCAAGAACTGTACTGACCTGCACATCCCAGAGCAGCACCGCCAAACACGAACATTGGATCGACGTTCTAGGAAGTTCGATAGAAATGAGTAGAGAGCGCACGCCTACGCTAATTACACGATACATACAAATATCGGTTTTGTTGGGTCAATCTCCATGTTTCCTAGGGCAGCGACACCTCCAGCGAAGCCAGCAATCGTCAAGGGTATTGACATTGCCTGCAGAAGATGATTCAGTCAAGATTATGGGGAGACAAGCATATTTCGGCAGCACAAGACACACCGTTTCCCATCTTCTTTTCGTCTTGCGAATGTTCAAATACTCTCCCCATGGTAACGTCTCCTTTTCGAGTTCACTCGGACTACCTTGCTTGACCTGTGTTTTCAACGCGTCTTCGGCCTTTGCACCTGGGTTCTTGGGAGCTTTGCTTGACTTGAAACGGGCAGATGTGGTAGACGACTTCGGTTTGCCCGCGAGACTCACGTAGATGTGTGATGGGCGCGGCAGAGAACGTAGAAGTGAGCTGCTCGACATTGCTGTCGACGGTTTGGAGGAATGCAACTTCAAGCTTCAAGAACTGTTTCGCGCTCGACGATAGTAAGCGCTCAGCAGGGTACAACGTGGCGTCGGGACGTGCCCGCCGACAAAAATTGATCCGTGGGATGAACCCTGTTTTATTGGTCGGGTAGTCGGACAAGGCTGGGTAAATAGGCGGACATGAAGGAAACTTCTCCCCCGCATCTCTGCTTCTGCCACCAACACACGACACAGGTGCGCGAGGTTCAGTTTAGACGTTAGCAAGCACATTGTTAAGGTATGTAGATTGAACATATAATGAGGCTGTCTATTGCTGAGCCCGTATGTTAAGATGACTATTCTACCTCCAGAGCTCTTCGATGAGACTCTGGACCATCTATGGGACGATCCCAAGACGTTGCAGGCATGCTGCCTGACCTGTCGTTCCTGGGTGCCCACCGCTCGCCTCCACCTTTTCCGTACGATCCGACTATCATCTTCTTTATCGTGCACCAACTTCACCTCTCTCCTCGACTCGGCACCCTCCATCGCCTGGTGCGTCCAAAAACTCACTATCAGTGCCTCCTACTGTGGCATTGATGGCAATGAGAATGCTATCGAGGACGATAAATGGGTGAACTCTACTCAGAGCCTTGCCCGCTGCCTGGGTGGGTACGGCCGCGTCAACACTCTGGCCCTAAGCAGGCTGCGTTGGAGCTCACTCGAGCCCGCTACGAGAGACGCTTTCAAGGGCGCCTTCAGGTCCATCAAGACCCTCGTTCTATTTGAGGTGCACTTTCACGCGTCCAGCAATGTGCTGGAGTTCCTGGATGCATTTCCAGAGCTCGAGGAACTTTACTTCCACGCAGTATCGTGGGAGGTCGAATCCGACGAACAAACTTTGACCACAAGCAGGCCAATCTATCCTGGAGATAAGATGCACCTGTCATATCTATTCCTAGATCCACGGTCTTCTCCCACTCTTGTTACCGAATGGATTTTGAGGCACCCGTCTGACCAGAAGCTTAGGACTATTCAGCTATGCTGGAGAGAGATGGACGATACGAAGGCGCTGGGTGACCTCTTGAAAACCAGCGGCTCATCCCTGGAACGTCTCCGGATCGAGTTCCCATCTGGTATTCCTGAGGAAGGTACGACCCACACCACTGCTTCCTTTTGTTCACCAATAGCTTACCCTACGTCTCTCAGCTGTCTTAGCTAACCACGTGAGCCTCGCTCACAACACTTCCTTGCGCGCTCTCTCTTTCGGTGGCCTGGACGTCTCTGCCGATACCTCCCGCACATTCTTCATCACACACATCTTCCCCTGGATAACTCTCATGTTGTCGCATCTACACTCGCCATTGCTTCGCGAGATCACGTTTGAGTTGGAGACACCCGACAGCGAATGCCTGCGTGCCCTAGACTGGGAACACATCGACAAGGAGCTCTCTAGAGTCGAGTTTACCGGCCTTACCGTGCGGTTCTATGTGAATTGTCTATCGAGCACCAGTAGTGATGTTGTTACCAAAGAAATGAGTGAGATCATTGCAACCTTCCTCCCTGGCTTTAAAGAAAGAGGCAATCTCTGTGTTTCCTGCATCTAGACAACATATTTTTACATCACATTGACTAAATAGTAACTGAAGATGGGGTATCTCTGAACATCTACCGTAGTAATTTCTGTATGGGCCGATTGGCTGGTTGCCTTTGCACTGCGTACGTATAGATACTGTATTAATTGTAGTACTTTGGGGCTTATTCTTTTCCCTCTTTTGCAAGCTAATTGTATAGATTCTTATTTAGATATTTTAAATATGTACTGTTTCAATAGAGCTGCTTTCGTTTCTCATATGTAATACTCGAAGAACCATTGAACTTGGGAGAAAAGCGAAAGACTGAGATTTCATTGGCTACAACTAAGGTTAGGGTTAGAACACTGCAGGAACCAAAAAAAAAAAACGGCCCGTCCAGCCCGAGGGCCGAAGCGGGACAGGAAAATATTGAGACGGTGCATGAGCCGAAGCCCATACAAACCGCGAGTTCCCTCTGTATGGACAAGGTCGCCGTGCTATGGAAGGACCCCACGGCCCACAGACCCAGGTCCGTGAAGGAGCCTGTGCCATCAAGGTAAGTATGAGGAATTCAGATGGGCAAGCGAGGACCTTTATAGCCGAGGGACGTTGCGCACGGACCAAGTGCGCCACAATCGCGATCGCAAAATTCACGAATGGACTTCGATGAAATCGCACTATATATCAGTTCGGTATTATACTGTGATTATAAATCTCTTAGAAAGAGCACTGTTTGATACTTGGTTGCAGGGAGGGCGTTAGTAAGTACTCGCGAGACTAGGAACCGAATCACTCTGCCTCATATTTTTGCCCTCGAAAACACCGCCCCAAGTACTAGTTGGAAAATAGTACGTGCAAAAAATGCCAGGAGGGCGGATCGAACGCCCGACCTCCAGAAGTATGAATTCACACGACGCACGTGATGCACTTCAGTCTGTTGCTCTCCCAGCTGAGCTATCCCGGCCACAAAAGTGGTTGATATAGAAGAATATATATAGTTTAAAGTACGCTCCGATCACTCTCCTCCTCCCTCTCTCATAAGGTTTTAGTGCTCCCCGGGTTAGCCTCGACTGTGTCGACCCAAACCCGGTTCCGTAACCGGTTTCGTGTCTGCTTACTCTCATACTACATCCACTGCACCCTGAGATGTACATGTGTAAGGTTTCGTAGATAACTTACAAGCACCTTAGTATAGGCACAAAGTTTCCTTGAGCTTCGTTTCGCTCCTCATATATATTCACTAAAATGTTAAGTACAGTTATAGCACTACATACGTGTCTTAGTAAATGCATATAGGTTTCGACAAAAAATCACACCGGCTAAGTTCAGCTGGAGATTATAAGTGTTATGCAGTGGGGGGGAGGGGGAGGGGCGTTACACAGGATGTTGTAGGACAACTATCGAGACAAAGGGAAGGCGTGTACTCGCAGGGTATGCACCAGGAGAAATGAGCCTGACAAACAGGAAGTAGGGAAAGAATATGGGTGTGTACAAAAACACGCGTACAGTAGTACATCAATCAATACAGAAACCGCAAAGACGGTCAGAGAAAAGAAACAGCAAGAACCAGAAAGTAACAAAGCAAGGCTTGGAGAAATAAGACTGATTATGACCATTGAGAGGTCGGAAAAGAAAGCGAGCGCACTGCAAGCTTATAAAAAGCACCATTGTGAATCCGATAACACTACATGATAAGTAAACGTATTTCGGAGGCGAGGAGAAAAGTTGCGGGCAGTCGATCCGAGAGTCCGTGTGAGAGTGGGAGGGAGGGGAAAGAGAATTGGTAGATGCGAGAAAACGACTCAGTCAGATGAGAGCATGGAGAGAAGATTACGGACACTGTCGAGGCCAGTCGTACAGCGCGAGTTGTAGGGAGCAACACACACACGGCAACAAAGAAAGACTAAGGAAAGAATACCTCTACAATACATGACCCACAGGGAGAAAGAGGCCTATGTGATCTCTAAGATCGACGTCTCCAAGATCCTAAACTGAGTCGGATCTTTGGACATCTCTGACCACCCAACACGTTCCCTCCAATTGACAGAATTGGCTTCCTTCTCACCTGCATCGGCAAAGTTGCCGATCTCGTCGTCGGTGATGCCGCGGAACATGAGGAATAGGCGGGTGAAGATGCAGTTTTCGGTGTTGACGGAGATATCAATGGCGGCGGCGATCTTGGCGGGGGAAAGGAAGCGGTAGGCGATGTTTTTGTGGGTAGAAAAGGCGGACATGTTGTTACTGTAGTGGTAGAAAAGAAGAGGTGAGCGGGAAAGTATTGACATGGGGACATAGGGATAAGGCGCACTTGATAAAATTAGTACGCGCATGTAGAGACATGCCAAGCTGGTCTAGGACTCGTGTGAGGTGGGGAATGAAATCTCGGAAGGACATCGCAAAGCCGTTTCGTGGATTAATGAACTCTTCTGGTTCTACAAAAGCTGGATCGGGTCTAAAGAAACAAAGTCAGTTGGAGTTGCGAGTAAAATATCAGGGTTACGCACATTGCTTCATAATACAAGGATGTCGCATTGATTTGAGTCTCAAAATGCTCAATGGCGCCTCCAGGGTGGACTCGTAAGAAATACTTGACCTTGTTATCCTCTAAGGGCTCAGCCGTAGGCCACGTTAGCCCAAGTTTCCATAGTTGCGAAGGCTGGAGTGTAATATCGCAGTACTGCGATGTTGGCGCCAAGATGTTGAGGTGACATTTGGCGGTAGATGGTTTGGATACGACAGCGAGTTTCGAAATTACTCGAGCGTCCACGAGGAGATCCTGGGGAACTTCCTCTTCGTTGACTATCCGTGTTCCAGTGAACTCCATGGTGTGGGTATCTCCCTGATGTACAATATTCAGTTTGCCCCAGAACTGACCATCCACGGTAGTACCATCTTCCATGCGCGCCATGTCCAACTCGTCGGAAGATATAGTAGTATCGAGTGCGACATTCTGTCCTGGTGCTAACTCTAGGTTGAACGTCGCAGGCATATCTAGAACTGGAGGCGGGCTGCAGATCCAACGTTAGGGCGACCATCGCCTGTGTGTTTTTCATTCACTTACGGTGGCGGGCTGGACAAAGGGAGTAAATACAACTGCTATGCTCAGAAATAGGATGCGCATACTCACGGTGGCTCATCTTCTGGGGGAGGTGGGGCATCTCCTACTATCTCTACCCTGAGACCTTGTACGCCCATAATAGCAATTTGGTATGAGTCCTCTCCAGTGAGCTATGCATCGTCAGGTCAGCTTGAGTGGTATTGAGACAGAGGCGTTCCTCACATAGATGTATGGCCCGGACACGAGTCTCTATAGAGCGATAAGGAAACAAACCAAACCGGTAGGCATTGAGAAAATAAACATACGGATGCATGTAGCGACGCATATTCGACTGGTACTCGCAGGCTGAATTCCGCGTCTGGTGGAGGCTTGATCCAATCCCGGCAAACAGCCTCTAGCTCCTACAAAGAAGTTTCATAGTTCTAGGCAAGCGCAGAACATGTAAGCATTCCCGACACTTACGGCAAAGGTTGTAGGAAGCTAAAGAGCTATTGTTGAGTCAACGCTGCGGTGCCGATGCGACAACCAGGACATACCATTCGAATAGTTTCCATGTCTCCAAAGCATATTGTGAGCAGGCGTTGGCGAGTTAGGGCCATCTGCGCTTGCTGAGTCTGTTTGTCTTGCATGAGATTCATTTCCTTGCCTCCCTTTGGAGTCTTTTGAAACTTGGCCCAAAAGCCTCCCGGGAGGCTCGCATTGGACACCCTGCACGCCGAGATGAACAAGGAGACAGCAGTGAGGACAACGTATGTACTTACGCAGGAGATGTGAGCATGTCGCCGCACGAGTGCTGGAGAACGCAGGCAGTTGCGGGGTCAGGATAGATCACAGGTGAAGGAGGGAGAAGAGAGAGTCATGGCCGTTCAAATAGGGCATCTACACGAGGCGATCCGGAACACGAGGCCTCTGCAAAGATCCACTATGATACAGCGAGTTTTCCAAATATTTCTCGCAGATTTTGTGGAAAAAGAAAGTTTTAATAATTTTTGTGCGACGACCAGGAGTCGAACTCGTCATCGGCTACAGCGAGGACGAGGCTCTGAGCGGTGAGGGCAGGCAACTCCGAGTCGTCGCCACTCAGGCTCTTGGCGCTTCCCACTCACTTATCCGATCCTGCAGCGCGTCATAGTCTATCGTGGGAATTATTTCGTGCGCCTACCAGACTCCCCCGGTTGACGCCGTTAATCTCAGCCGCCTACTTGCCACCTCGGCCCTCAACAGGCCTCAACGTTCAACGTTTCAACGACCACCGCCATGCTCAGAAAACCAGTTCTGAACGCTCTTCAGCGAAGGTCCTTTGTATCGACTGTTCTCCTTACCCGCAACTGGGAAAATGAAACAGTAAATGTGCTCAAGAACGAGGCCAAAAAGCGTGGACTACTCCAGTATGTCTATCAACATCATCTGCTCCCATAACCGTGTCGTAACATTCTCTGCAGGACAGGAAATAAGTCGACGTTAGTTTCCCGCTTACGAGACTTTGAACGCGAGCAGGTCTCTCAGAGCGGTCCTCCACCCGTGATACAGCAACAAGTTCGCCTTGCGTCTACCACCGAGGTTCCAGGTATACCATCCAGCTCAAGACCTTCGCCGATCCCTCCAAACTATCCCAAGGAATTCTTAGACGTGAAGATTCCTGATGTTTCTCAGCTCCCTCCTGAACCACCTGTCGAAGCGGTGGGTATTCTCTCTCCCTTATGACCTTGTATCTGTCTGATTCACGTACTATGTAGCCTTTCGTGCCCGACTTCTGGGAGTCTTCCAGGGTGAAAGCAGAATTAGCTCCCCCTCCCCCACCTGAATCCTCACCAATCAAGGTTCTTGCTGTCGCTGGTGCCGCTACCCACATAGGTGGTGGACCCTCCCACAATCTTTATTCACCAGAGTCCTCCGCTGCAGCCGAACCTGTTACCAAGGACGAGCCAATTCCCTTCTCGGAGGCGTCAGAGGAACAGAAGCCATCTGGCCTCTTGAGTTTCCTGGGTATTTTCCTTGGCACATATATCGGTGCTTGGTGGTTTACGCCTCAATCGGAATTCGCAAAAGAGGAGGTACAGGGTGTAGAGGCTCCTGCAAAGCACTGAGCGATTTAGTGCTTAAGTATATATTAGACTACATTCATGATGTTAGTACAGACTACTTTATTAGAACCCTCCATTTATTCCTAAACATCTCAACCGTGTTTACGGGACTGCTCTAAGTTTTATATGTATGACCATATAGCCCCTAATCCGGGGTTAGGGTTTAGCCTATTAAGGTACGCGTCGCGTCAAGCGAGCGAGTAGCCGCGTCAGCTACAACGACCACCACCTCCATACATAACCCCTCCCCCGTATAGATACAAGCATGGATGAACTAGGAATTGAGATTCGTAAAGAGGTACGAGGCTGCGTTATCATTCGATATTCAAAATTTAAGTGAATTCAGGACCCGACTTTCGAGTCAGTAGTAACAGAAAAGACTGCTCTGATACAAGAGCTGCAGGAGGAGGATCTTTACGTGAAGTACAAGAAACTGTCGCGACATCTTGAAATGCTCGACATCCAAGAAAGCTATATCAAAGACGAACAGCTAAACCTCAAGCGAGAACTCATCCGTGCCCAAGAAGAAGTCAAACGAATCCAATCCGTACCGCTGGTTATTGGCCAATTCCTCGAGCCTATAGACGACAAGACCGCCATCGCAGGTTCAACAACTGGCTCGAATTATGTCGTCCGTATCCTCTCAACGCTCGACCGCGAATTGTTGAAGCCCTCGTCTTCTGTTGCCATGCACCGACACTCAAACGCCATAGTGGACATTCTCCCGCCAGAAGCCGACTCGTCAATAACGATGTTGGGGAAGGAGGAGAAACCAGATGTCACGTACTCGGATGTAGGTGGAATGGACGCACAGAAGCAGGA